GGGGGGGGGGGGGGGTGAACATGTCATACTCTCCAATTTCTTGTCGATGGGTCCTTTCACACGTCGGGGCCGACAAACGCTACAGATTTATAGAGCTTTGCTTTCCGGAGACGCCACTTTTGTACAATATAACACGTTTTCGGCTGATCATGAACAACGGGTTTGCTGAAACTTACAACAACCGCAACCCGGTTACATTACAATGCTCGCAAAAAGGTTGCACGAAAAAAAAAAAAAAAGGGTGCAATTCTACCGACTCACCAGCGAGGCCCCATCTTCTTCCACGAGGATCGGGAGGGAGAACGTTCCGACCTTCTTGCACCGGACCTGGTACGCGTGGGCGTTGTCGTGTGTATCGAACATCACCACCGAACCATAGAGGGCGCTGAAGAGGGTGTCGCGAAGGTGCTCTTGGTCCTCCGGGAGCTGTTGTTCAGGTGATGGGTTGGGCGAAGAAGCGGGGGGGGGGCATACTCATTTGTTGCTTGCCGTAGTCATTTGACCATTGACCACGCGTCCCTTTCGAGACGGAGGGGGGGGGGGGGGGGGGGGNGGGGGGGGGGGGGGGGGGGGGGGGATGGGGTACTCATGAACATGCATACCGTAGTCTTCGACCGTTGACCTCGCGCCCCTCTACGGTGTACCATGGTATGCCGGGTTTATGCCCGCCCAGGCTGCGTACAGCAGTAACGATCCCTCGACAACAACAAAACAAGCAAAGTCGCGCCGGAGGCGGGGTTGAGCCCTCGACCTTTGACTCAGCATAGAGCTTAGCACTTTGACGTAACTATTGCCGTACCATCCCCCGGGTCTCGAGGGTGCCTTTCGACCACGCGGCAACAACAAAGGAAGGGTATCAAACCGCCTCACTCGCCTCGATCATGTTCGCAAGGTAGCCCTTGAACCCCTTGTCCTTCAGCGCGCGGAGAGGGAGCTTCTTCGAAGCAATTTCTGCGGCGTTCCGCGGCCTGGACTCTCCTGGAACCCTGAAGTTTGGGACGGTCTGAGTTGCGACGGCAACCGAACAAAGAAAAAAGAAGAGACAAACAAAGCGGTCGCACAGCTCAAGACAAGAGGTGAAAAGCATGTGCATTGAAGGGCTAAGGTGTACATCCTGCTGACCGGGCCAGGTCCCTTGGGTGCGTGACGAGAGCTTACGTTTATGCTGATGTAAAAGTATTATCGCAATGTTGTTCGTGCTTCCGCACGACTTGCTCTCGGGAAAGCGAGTCTTTTGTCATGGTTCCATCTCAGGGTCACGCAGGACGCCTGTCAGTACACACCGGGCATGCCCGAGCACCGCCAGGCACCCGCGGCGCTTGCAATCCAGTCCTCGAGTAACCGTGGCTTGCTCTATATCACGGAGAGTCAATTGAACCCGAAAACCCTTCGCAGGCGAAAACACAACAACTCTCCAAAAAACAGGAAACCCTTCATCCCTGTGCAACGGGGGCGGCTCGTGTACGCTGCAAGGCGATCGCGGGTGGCCGCAGCGAAGCTGTTGAAGGGCGCAATACAGGGCATACATCTCGTCGTGGTTCATGTGTTTGGACAACCAGTCTTGCACTTGGACGCACGGTTGCACCCGCGGTTGCATCGGCAACCCTCCGAAAACGCGCACTCCTTGCGCGGTGTTGGCGCAGTGTGCGGCTCTACCGCAAGGAGTGCGCGTTTTCGGAGGGTTGCCGATGCAACCGCGGGTGCAACCGTGCGTCCAAGTGCAAGACTGGTTGTCCAAACACCTGAACCACGACGAGATGTGTGCATCGCGGGTGGCCGCAGCAAAGCTGTTGAAGGGGACAATACAGGGCATACATCTCGTCGTGGTGTTTGGAAAACAAGTCTTGCACTTGGACGCACGGTTGCACCCGCGGTTGCATCGGCAACCCTCCGAAAACGCGCACTCCTTGCGGTAGAGCCGCACACTGCGCCAACACCGCGCAAGGAGTGCGCGTTTTCGGAGGGTTGCCGATGCAACCGCGGGTGCAACCGTGCGTCCAAGTGCAAGACTTGTTGTCCAAACACCACGACGAGATGTATGCCCTGTATTGCCCCCTTCAACAGCTTTGCTGCGGCCACCCGCGATGCACACATCTCGTCGTGGTTCATGTGTTTGGACAACCAGTCTTGCACTTGGACGCACGGTTGCACCCGCGGTTGCATCGGCAACCCTCCGAAAACGCGCACTCCTTGCGCGGTGTTGGCGCAGTGTGCGGCTCTACCGCAAGGAGTGCGCGTTTTCGGAGGGTTGCCGATGCAACCGCGGGTGCAACCGTGCGTCCAAGTGCAAGACTTGTTTTCCAAACACCACGACGACATGTATGCCCTGTATTGCCCCCTTCAACAGCTTTGCTGCGGCCACCCGCGATGCACACATCTCGTCGTGGTTCATGTGTTTGGACAACCAGTCTTGCACTTGGACGCACGGTTGCACCCGCGGTTGCATCGGCAACCCTCCGAAAACGCGCACTCCTTGCGGTAGAGCCGCACACTGCGCCAACACCGCGCAAGGAGTGCGCGTTTTCGGAGGGTTGCCGATGCAACCGCGGGTGCAACCGTGCGTCCAAGTGCAAGACTTGTTTTCCAAACACCACGACGAGATGTATGCCCTGTATTGCCCCCTTCAACAGCTTTACTGCGGCCACCCGCGATCGCCTTGCAGCGTACACGAGTCGCCATCAGACGTCGGAGAACGAGTTTGTCGCCGGAGTGTTCAAGCGGGGACGCGCCAAATAACCGCGTTCCTCATGACCTACTCGTTCAACTGTTAGACCTGCAGTTGGGGCATGAGTTCTTCATGCTCGCACTGAAATGGATACCGACAGCAGCTAAATGCCGTAGCAGACGCAATTTTGTGGTCGTCTCGGGAAACTCTCTTACGGCTCAGACCGGCCACGCTTTCGGTGTTGTATGGGAGGCCTTTGGACCGTTCGACATCGGCCGCATGGCGTGTACGGCGTCTGCGCATCGGCCCCCACTTGACAGGCTCCCCCCTGCCGTTCTTCTCCGGTTACACTTGTGGCGGCTATCACAGCAAGGCACGGTCGCGCTGGCACAGAACGCCGCAGCGCTACCGGCCGGTGCGTTGAGCTTCTGTTTCCCGTGGTCGCCTTTTTGATGGCCGGGCACATCGTCCAATATTTGGCGGCCAGCGCCGAGCGCACGCGGTCTCCTCTCCAATGTTCGCGACAGACGGAGGTATAGTGACAGACCGCGCTATTCGGGGAAGGTCCCTGAACAGCAACATAGTACTTGTCGAGGAACTCATGAAGTATCGCGATACGTCCGGGGTACCGCGGTAGTCGGGACCGCGGCATATCGGAGCCGCCGCGGTACACTGGTTTCCGTTACTGCAGCTAGCGACAAATACGTCGCTCGAGTCCGCCCTGCGGGGGGTCGGGTTGTGTTCCCAGTGACCGAGCTCCAACGGTGTTCCTCCACAACCTTCGCGCTACCCCCGGTGGGCTACAATGGTCGCGTACGAAGTAGGTTTCGGCCTGTCCAACCGAAGTAGTGCTTGACTGCAACAATTTTCCATATTTTTGAGGTTTCGGGGAGGACCCATTTTTTTTTATTTTTTTCGGCGAGAGAGAAAAAGTAATCGAACGGAATGAGACACGCAATGTGTGCGCGCGCGCCGTTCGAGGCGCGATGGTGATGATACGCACCTCTTGGCAGAACCCGCCGGCCTGCGCCTTCCGCACCATGTCGAGCTGCTTCTTGGTCTCCACGTAAACCGCCTTCATCTTGCTCCCGCACTTCTGGGACAGGAGCTTCGCTCGATACTCGTCTTGCACATACCTAAAGAGTTTGTCAGCATCAGCATTAACGGTAGCAACCAAGCAGCAGCAACATTAGCATCAGCAGCGATATGCAACATTAGCACCAAAAGCAAAAGCATCAGCAGCATCAGCAGCAGTAGCGTTAACATCAGCACCAGCATCACCAGCACCGAGAGTGGTCACTGCATGCCATCCAGCCCCTAGGCCATCATAGAGCCACAACGCACCGAAGGCTACTGGGGTGATACGAAGCCTCAACGGTGCAGAAGAGGAGGGATGCTAATCCTGTTTTTCCAGTGGAAAGTGGGAGAAAAGCTCGACAGGTGATGCCTGCCTCTCTCACCCGAGCTGGGCGATGTACCCGACGGGCTTGATCGCCTCCTCGTCTTCGGGGCGCATTCTGCCATGCTCGAACTTGAGGGGCCTGGCCTGCTGGCTCAGCCGACCGCGCTGCTCCTCCTCGAACGTCTTCAGCAACCGCTTTGCCTCGTTCATGCACGCCTGTACAAACAAGTTAACGTTGGATTTTTCTGGACTCGATTTCTTAGCTGCTAAGGGAACAGATATGTCTTCAGTTCGGTGTGATGGGTGACAAGCGCGGGCCAAGGTTTCCACAAGCAGGAAGGTTGGCACGCAACCCCGGCTATCATCCCCGGAAGACCTTGAAAATAATGTTTTTGACTCGCCGACGTAGACGTCCACAAACACCTACCTAACTCTGCGACATTTCGGAAATCCATGAGGCAATCTTCGTCCCTAATGCGATCGCTCTTGATTCGCTAACGCACCCCAAGGTCGTCACAACCATTACCACTTGTGAGATTTCCGAAACCAACAAATCATGCCAACTAAAAGGGATCGCTCTTTACTCGTCAACGCATCCCATAGTCGTCATAAAACACCACCTACCAATATTTTCATGCACGCCAGCACTCCTTCACGAACACCCGGCATCATTTCCCCATACTTTTACACATGTACCACTTGGAAAACACATTTCTAAAGGCCGCTTCAACCTCAGACACGGATGTCTAGTCGCATTTTTTCACAAGAAATACAAAACGGGAGCAGAAATTTTCAACCGCATACATCAATGCCAGATGCTTAGGCGATAGCCATGTTATCAAACCCACGACAACTCAAGCTTATGCCAAGAGTTCGAAAGGAGACAGTACTTGAGAACGAACAAACAACACAGACCATGCAATACTCACAGAGTAGTCTTGGCTGTCCAGGTCAATCGACGATGCCAAGCTCCGGGGGAGGTCCCTCGCGGAATCCTTGGCGTTTGCGAGCGCCATCTCCTGCCGTGTTACCGCCGCCTGCGTGTGTTTATTATCGCGCAATGCGCGTCGTGGTAGGAAATAAAAACAAACGTGACAAAACAGAGAGGCGACCAGAGGATAGGGGAGGGGGTTCGGCGTTTATCAATATCGAGACGGGTATCATACGCTATCTATGTTTCACTTGTCCCGTAAAGATAACACCGACATTTACCAGGTGCTCACCCGCGACAACGGCAAGCGGGGGGGGGGGGATCACA